ACAATGACAATGACAAATCAAAACATTACACCACCGGCAATGGCATATATCAAAAAAAAATTAAACAACAAATATTTGCAAGGATGTGGTGAAGAAAGAACTCTATCATTCACTACTGTTAGGCATAAGAGCTCAATGTTGAACTGTTAAAAACAAAGAGAAAATATTCTCAGAATCTTATGAATGAAGCTTCAAATATGACCCAGCTATTGACATGTCAAACACAAAAACACTAATTTGAAAAGGTAAAAATACACTTTTGTTAATAGCATTTAATACCATTTATTTAGCACAATATCCCAGATTTGGATACAATCTAAATGTCCACAAATAGATGGGTAAAAAACATTGTGGAATATATACATGATGGAATACTATGTAGATAAAAGGAGAAATAAAATCATGTGTTTGTAGCAACTGGATGGAACTGGAGATGTTGAGCAAAGAGCATAAGGCAAAACACCAAGTGATCTTCCTTATCTATGGTGTATAGAGAAAGGACTCAAGAATATGGAAGTCTGCTAACACTATGCTCTGCTCCAGCTGCTTGATGCATTTTTTTTATTTTTAATTTTTATTAGTGAAACACTGTGAGGTACAGTTGTAGATTTACAAACTTTTGTGCTTGGGTCTCAGTTATACAATGATTGAGTACCCATCCCTCCACCAGTGCCCATTCTCCACCTCCAATGCTCCCAATATTCCTCCAACCCCCTCATCCCCCCCTCCCACCCCACCCCTGTGGCCTGGCATTCCCTTTTGTTTTCTCTCTCCTTTTGGGTGCTGTGGTTTGCAAAAGAGGCATTGAGTGGCAATCATGTTCGGTCTATAGTCTACTTTCAGTCTACTCCCATCTCTCATCCTGGGAGGATCCTCCCAACACCCTTTATTTGGAGCTTCCTTCTTTATCTGAACTGCCTTTTCCCGTAGCATGTGCGGCTGGCCTCCAAGCCATGCAGTGAACCTACTGGTACTTATCTTGGCTATTCTTGGGAGTTAGTCTCCAATTTTGTTACTTTATATTCCCCAGATGAATGCAGTCTTTCTATGTCTGTCCCTCTCTTTCTGACTCAATTCACTTAGCATGGTACTTTCCATGTAGTACCACTTGTATGTAACTTAAGGGCATACAATCTCCTGAACTTATTTGATTATTACTTTTGCCTTTCTTAATTGTCTGACAGAACACCAAAGCATTCCAGAAATAAGAGTGTGTATCCGTGTCTCTGTGTTTATATGTGCATATTTCTCATTTGTGTAATATTTAATTCCTTAATAAATATGTATCATTATGTCACCTGGGGCAGGCCAAAAGGTCTGCTTTAAGGACATTGTGTTCAATGTTAATCATATTTCATGTTCCAGTGAGTCAGAGTCACATTGAGTTACCAAGTTAAAAACTCTTTTTTGTCTGCTGAGTAAGAGACAAACTGCCCAAATGGTACAGAATTCAGGCACCCAAGTCATTAAGATGTGATGGTATATAAAAGATGCAGCATTGATAATATATTTGAAGAATGTGCTCCAGGAGTAATTCTTCTACTAGTCATAATATCTGACACAGAACATCAATAAAACCCTATTTTTCTCCTTCAGTGCCCTGCTGTGGAGTCACTAAGCAAACTTAGCTTCCAGTAAGTTACAGGTGGGCCTTCAGCTGTGGACAGATATCATATATTTTTAGCAAACATTGGTGAAGAATATAAGAATCCAAAAGCAACAGCAAAACATTAGTACCAACAATTCAAAGGCTATGCAATTATATACTGAGCCCATTCCATATAATATTAGTTATTATACTAGTTACTAGTCATCAGCCATGTCAGTTATTTTAAGCTATGCTGGTTATTATACATAATGAACTTTATATATAAGTTGCTATGAATAATAATTGTACATAATTGTTCCTGTATCTCACTTTTGGACTATAACATGTAATGCTCTGGGGATCGAACCCAAGCTTGCTGTGTGCAAGACTAGAAGTTTATCTGCTGTGCTATCTTAATGGTCTTGCTATCTCAATGGTCTTATACAGGTTATTATCAGCTATTATTGTATATGAGTTATTATGTTAGTTATTTTTCATCAGCTTCTATTTCATGCAGTAATACTGAAATATTTGTATTCTGTACTGCACAGAAATATACACTGAAGATTATATACTAAAATATTAATAACTCACTTAAATATTAAGCCCCATGTTGCTTTTCTTTGGCTACAAGTCATACAAAAAATAACTTTGGGAGCTGGAGAGATAGAGCAGAACTGAAAGCACTTCCCTTGACTCACACCAACTTGTTCCAATTTCTCAGCACCACATATGGTTTTCTGTGTATCACCGAGTCACTTCTGAGCACAGAGCCAGAAATAGTTCCTGCGGACTGCTGGGTATAGACCCAAACCAAAACTGTAGCACTGTAGCACTGTCCTGTTGTTCATCAACTTGCTCAAGTGGGCACCAATAACGCCTCACAACAAATTGTGAGACTTGTTACTGTTTTTGGCATATTGAATATGTTGTGGGTAGCTTGCCAGGCCCTGCCACGTGGGCGTTAAACTCTCAGTAGCTTGCCAGGCTCTCTGAGAGGGGCAGAGGAATCGAACCTAGGTAGGTCACATTCAAGGCAAATGCCCTACTATCACTATCACTCCAGCCCAAACCAAAACTATAATGATAGAACAAAACTTTAATGCCTCTTAATGTTAAAACTTATTTGTAATTTTTAAACATATAAGGCAAAATCAGATTCTAATCAAGCTCTATAGATTATATAGATGTACTATTATACTGTCACTGTCACTGTCCTCCCATTGTTCATCGATTTGCACGAGTGGGCCCAGTAACATTTCCATTGTGAGACTTGTTGTTACTGTGTTTGGCATATCAAACACGTCACGGGTAGCTTGCCAGGCATTGCCATGTGGGAGAGATACTCTCAGTAACTTGCTGGGCAACTGAGAGGGGCGGAGGAATCGAACTCTGGTTGGCCGTGTAGGTGGCATGCAAGGCAAATGCCCTACCCACTGTGCTATCGCTCCAGCCATATAGTATTATACTACTATATTATATTACTATTATATGTATATAAATGTACAGATGTACTATTTATAGATGTATTATTATACTATCAATTACTATTATAGATGTATACAGATGTACTATTATACTACTATATTATATTACTATTATAGATGTATATAGATGTACTATAAATGTACTATTTTATTTAATCAGTAAATTCTTCCCTGATCAATATATTCAGAAGTGATTTCCCATCCCTTCATCTTATACAGCATAATATTCAATTTCTTCTTTATTACATGAAATTGCATTGGGTGATTTCTATAATTATTCTTCTTAGAGGCTCATAGCCAGTCTAGGGAAATAAGAATTTTTATTCTTCTACAATAAAAGTTTCACAAGCTGAGAGCCACAGACTATTGCAGATAAGGTGCTTGCCTGTATATAGCAGTACTTGGTTTGATCTTTTTTATCACATATGGTCCCCGTGGCTCACATGAGTGATCCCAGGGCACAGAACCAGGAATAGGCCTTTGCACAGACAAGTATACAAAACCCCACCTACCTCACAACCCCTCCAAAACTTTTTTGCATAAGCTAAACCCAAGTTAAACACAGGTTGCCTAAAACTCAGGTTGCATTCTTCAAATTTATTGGTAAATTTTTAATTATGATTTCTAAGAATGAGGATCTTATGTCCAACCCATGATCTAACATCTGTCATCACCAGCATTGTTTACAGACTATTCTGATAAAACTATTTTTTTAAAAAAAATATATAGTATAGTATGTGATTTTGTTCTGTTTCAACACTGTCACCATCAAATTGATCAAAATATTTAGGTGAGTAAGAAATGCTTACACAATTGTTGATGATGTATTAGAACTAGTCTCACATATTGACACACAGATTGTTAAGGAATCTACAGGAATCCTTTGCTTTATGATTCACAAGTCTCTGCTCAGCCGTTTCTATGAAACCTCACATGTGTGTGGAATGCTTCATGGTTTATCTTAGTTGAGAAAATGAGGGTATGCACACAGGGAACCAGGTAGGCATATATGGCACTATTTTACCTCATTATTTAGGTTTTGAGCTAAGCCTGGAGGTACTCAGCGTTTACTCCTGGCTCTGAGCTCAGGGATCACTTCTGGCAGTCCTCAGAGGAATGTATGCAGTGTCAAGGACTGAATTTATGACGGGCAAATGTAAGGCAGTGCCAGAATCATAGTACTACTGCAGCCCCATGTAATTCCTTTTAAGGGGATTATTGCTTATAGCCATTAAATAGAGTCAACTTCTTACTTTATTTTGACTGGATTTATAAAATGCACAATAAGGTAATGCTATTTGACCATTTTATTATCTTCTTCCAGCTCCCGGAACTGCGCGGCCGCATTTGCGGCCACGCGACATCTTATTATCTCATTCCTACTTTGAACAAACTGGCAGGCTACCGAATGTAACCTGCCCACACGGCAGAGTCTGGCAAACTCCCCGTGGCGTACCCAATATGCCAAATACCAGTAACAATGATGGGTCTCATTCTCCTAATTCTGAAAGAGCCTTGAATATGGCACTTTTTAAAAAATCTCAGGGCTAGGACAAAGGAGACGTTACTGGGGCCTGCTCGAGGCAATTGACGAATAACAGGATGGTTGTGATCATGATCGTGATTATCTTCTTATATATCACTTATCAAATAAAGCATTAGTAGAGAGCACGAAACATAAAGCGGAAGAATCCATTTTGTAGATGGGTAAATTTGATTTAAAAGTATTAAGTTATAGCAATAAACACTGAAACAAAAAAAATTACAACAATTAAACTATTTCTGTTCTCTTTTTCTTTTATTCCTTTTGGGTCAGTCTAGATGTTTCCAGATGATAAAGCAATAAGCAGAACAATTACAATTTGTGAGAACACAGCTCTTGGAAAATCCAGTTCTGTGGTAGCAATTAGGAGGGTTTTTCTTACCTCTTAGTTCAGCCATATCCAAAGTGGTGCCAAGTTGCTCTAATAATGCGACTCTTGCTGCATTCTTTTTGTGCTTCTTGCCATCATAATGTTGCTGAGCCATCAGGGGATTATTAAACCAAGCTGCACAGAGCCCACAGTATCTGTCTGAATCTCTTCTTTGATAGGGGGAAGTGGCCACGGTTGCAGTGTCCGCCCTGGCAGGCTTCAGGGAACTCAGGGGTGGAGCTATAAGGAAAACAACCAAAGAGACACAAGTTAATCAATCTGGTATCAAGTGAAATTGTCTTCAATATCTGATGATGCAACACTATTCATTTTGCTAAAATAAAAATGTGTGCTACAGTCTCTAACTAAGAGAAAAATAAAATCTGCTAGCCTTGATTTCCGAAGCTTGGATACAATTAAAACTTCCAAATTCATCGAGAGAAAGAGTTCACACATTGTTGCTTGTATCTGAGAGGGAGTTTCCTTATAAAGAAATGTATTTAAAAATAAAGTCTTAGAGAGGCAGTGATCTATTTGGCAAACTGAAGCCAAAACTTTGCAGTAAATGAAAAAAAAACAATTCTTAAATATTTCAAATGAGTTGGACATATGCACACTATTAATAGAAATAACTGATAAAGGATATGCACAAGTGATAAAAACAGATCAGTTGCTGACATGGATTGTGCCAATTGATGAAATCATGTATTTTATTGTCAGTATTTCTATTGATATATAATGTGTTATTTTCAAGTGATACCTACTAAAATTGATGCTGAAAAGACAACTTTATTTTTTTTACAAAGCCAAAAGGCAAATACTATAGAAAAAATGTTGCTTCACTAAACTGAGAGAAGGCCTGTATTACTATTTTGAGATTGCAGAGCCCCAGTTATTAATTTAACACATTTCATTGTGAGCCAAAATTATTTTAGGTTCAGGGGGAAAATAATCTAACTTGAAGGCATTTACTAATAGAAGGTAAAAATAACTGTTTTATGCATTACAGCATATAACTTATATGATAATTATCATTTGTGTTGTTATCTCATTTCAAATGATAGACTACAGATATACCAAATGATTTATTAAAGGTGATATATGATTTTATTGCTATTAAAGTGAGATTCCAGATCAGATACTTAATTTCCAAGGCCATTGCTCCTTTCATTAACTCTAATGCTTAATAGGGGATTCCCATTTTCCACCCCCTCTACCCCCAATACCGGAGATTTTAGTCATATTATGTCTTGTTTGGGATTTAATTCAATTTTGGGGAAAAATACTCATTCAAATATTTTGGAGTTGAAAATACATGTAAGTTTTTAAAGGGCTGATTATCATAATACAACATAGTAGTATCTACATAGTAGTATCATCTATGTTTTTTGTCTGTGTAATAGAGAATACAGGTCGCCAAAGTGGGAAAATTACTCTCATTCTAAAGAAAAGCTGAGATCTGTAACTTCATAATCAGTAAAAAAAAAAAGTCATTCAACTCCCAAAACTTTCATATAGACTTAATTTTTAAATATCTGTCATAGAACTGAAAATTTACTAAATGACATTTTAACTTTAAAAATTCCTATATTGTGACATTATTTTGAAAAAGTATTTTTCCCTCTACCCAGAGATGTCAGAAGATAGCAAGGATGAAACTTAACAGCATGATTTCTTTAGAGATTTAGAGAAATAATACGCCTCTTAATAGCACTAGTGCCTGATTCAATAAGCCATCAATCACCTTGTGAATAGAAGGCTCTGTCCCTGCAGCCATGCAGTATCATTCTGCTATGTCTTAGAAATGCTAATAAAAGCTACAAATATGTATTTGACCTGCATGTGAAAGGATATCTCTACTTTCTTCTCAAGGAAATTGGATCTCCCCTACAAACTTTTCTGCATCCATCTCAATTTCTGAAGATTTACAGTCACCAACTGGTTTTGGGCAATTGAAAACATATCAAATATGTGGACTGAGTGTTGACTCTTGAAGCATAATATACTTTTCTCTAAGCTTGGCACTTGAAAGTTTTGTAGAGTCAGTATTATACACCACATTCTGACAGGGGTGATGCACAGTAGAATATTCATCAAGTAAGAAGATCTTCTCCTACACATAAAAAAAAGTAGTTTGAAATGACAAATCTTATTGGAGCTTCTCCTCTTAAGAAATCCACCAGCTTGTGTGCAACCCACATTTTTAATTTGTCTTGAGTTTCTACTGTCAACCACATTCAGTAATCTTAATACAGTTCCTTTTCTGTATGGGTCCTATTGCCATTAACTAAGGGAAATGAAATTAGCCTAGAAACAAAGTCAGAGATGGAGGTTGGATTTGATTCTAGAGCCACTGAGCCAAAACATGGCCAGTATCAGCTCTCTAGGTATCTGGTTTCTGGCTGGTTAACACTTGAGGTAGCCTCTTCTTGCCAACCCTTTATCACCACAGGTACCCCACAGTATGAGATAGGATTAATTATAAATCTGTGGAGTCTCTGTCCCTCCCATTTCTCTCTCCTGACTTCCTCTTCTCTTCAGACGTCAAATAGCAAGATAAATGGCAAAAGAGCAGTTTACAGTTTGTCAGGTTATAATGATGAATATATAATATATATGTGTGTGTATATATATATGTATATGTATATATATATATATATATATATCACTATCACTGTCCTCCCATTGTTTATGGATTTGCTCGAGCGGGCAAATGTCTCCATCATGAGACTTTGTTGTTACTGTGTTTGGCATATCGAATACGGGTAACTTGCCAGGCTTTGCCGTGCAGGCGAGATACTCTCTGTAGCTTGCCAGGCTCTCCTATAGGGGCGGAGGAATCGAACACGGGTTGGCCATGTTTGCTGCATGCAAGGCAAACGCCCTACCTGCTGTGCTATCACTCCAGCCCATATATATATTTATGGCATATGTATGTATATATATGCCATAAAACACATTTCAGAAGAAGAATTCTTCTTTTTTCCTTTCGGGGGCACATCCAGTGGTGCTCAGGAGATATTCCCAGCTCAGTTTTAGGGTAGCTTCTGGCAGTGAGACTCCCACATGCAAAGCCTGTGCTCCAGTCTTTTGAACCACTACCTAGACCCAAGTGCATAACTGATCACTTGATGACTTTACTTCCCGTTAATCATCGATTTGCTCGAGCGGGTGCATAATTAATTTCAAATTAATTTTATACTTTTAACTTTCATTATAATTTCAGAAATAGCTAAATATTGAATTCACCTCTCCTATGTACAACTTAAAACCAACAATTCAATAAGCAATAGATCCATCAAGGGTTTTAAAATCAGGCTATTTTTCAGACTGATTTCATCAGAAACTCAAAGAGTTTCATGCTTTTAATACTTCATCTTATCACCTTGGACAATGTTTCCAAAATATAGCTAACATTGAGAACTGCTGCTCTAAATATTTCCAGATTTTTAACTTTTTCTACAAGAAAATAGTATTAGTTCTTCACATAAAGTATAGTCATGTTTTATAGCCAAAGGCAGTAGAGCATTTTATTTCTGCAGGTAATAACCAAAATGTCATATCTTGTCCACAAGAAAGAAAGAATAATTCGCTAATAACTTTAAAGTGTAATTATTTTTTTCATTATAACTAATGTTACTAAAATTTTGACTATTAAAAATAAATACTGTGAATGGTAAATAGCATTTATGATCTTTTCACTCACATAGAAACTGAAATATGCATTGAGCTTTTTAGTCATCGTAACACTGACCTTTGATTGACATTAGAGCCACTGCTCTGTCCTTTCCTTTTACACACAGTTAATATCTCTCCTGCAAAGGCCCCATCTCTTCTGTGAAGATGCACTAAGATGAGCAATAAACAGATCTCTTATTCTAAACTCATAAAGCATTTACCAACTTCAAATTTTATTTTACATATCTTACTACTACCATATAATCTTAGGAATATGTGTGTATGCAAAATTAGATATTCACACTAATATTCGATGCATCTGTGTTTGCTGTCTTCTCAAGTATATGTCTATAATCTCTTATTTCAAATTCAAAAAATTCAAGTTTTTTAAAATTTTAATCAGTGAAACACCATGAGGTACAGTTGTAGAAAAAATTTAAGTATTTTTAAAATTAAAATTTTTGATTTGCTATCAGAACCTTAGTCAAGCAAGGTATTTATAAATTCTATTCAGTGACATACATATTGTATATATGCCCATATGACAATGTAAGTATGCCAGTATATTACATAGAATTATTAATATCACTGACTATGGAGTGCTATCTCAACATTATATGGTAAATATATCTTTTTCTGTATTTTTTTAAAAATCCTAAAATTTCTGATTATCAAATGTATTTTTTTTTTTATTTTTTGGTGACACCTGGTGATGCACAGGGGTTACTCCTGGCTCTGCACTCAGAATTAACTCTGGTGGTGCTCAGGGGACCATATGAGATGCTGGAAGTCGAATCCGGGTCAGTAATGTGCAAGACAAACGCCCTACCTGCTGTGCTATTGCTCCAGCCCCTCAAATGTATTTTTGTCTCCCCCAAAATGAAATAAATTAAAATTGTTTTGATGTTTGAAATAGTTGAAAAAAATCAGTGTTCAATAAAAACACTCTCAAAAGACATATGCACACCTTTGTCTATTGGTGCGCTTGATAAAATAACTAAGATAAGGAATCAACCAATGACAGATAAATGGATTATGAAGATATGGTATATATACACAATAGAATACTATGCCACAGCAAAATAAATGATGAAATCACATAATTTGCTGCAACGTGGTTGGAACTGGAAGATATACTGAGTGAAGAAAGACAAACACAGAATTATCTCACTTATCCTTGGTATATAGGATACTGGATAAGGAAGTGTATTGTAAAAAGGGATCCCTAGATCAACCTTGACCCCAGTGTTCAGAAAGGAAAATGAAAGAAATAGAGGTGAGGGAGAAGAGAATGGGAAGTAATGGGTGAATAAGCTTTGGGGCTTCAATTATACTGCTGACCCAAGTGAGTGGTATATCATATATCCAAAACACAGACTCAAGAAAACTGAAAACCTAAGCTATAAGCTGCAACCACTGAAACTTTGTAATGTACCTGTCAAGTTGACAGGTGGGGATGAGGTGGGGATTTGGGTGGGGAGGGACTATGGGAACACTGTTGGAGGAATAGTCGACACCAGTGGTGGAATTTCATGTTTTTCAAGAACATGTTCTCTACAATC